CCTCTGGCAGAGCAGGGGTTCAGTTGGGATGGAAGGAGCCAGGGAGAGCTCTCTTTAGTGGCATTGCGGGGTGGAATGGTCCTTCCTGGCCTTTGCTGTAATAATAATAATAATAATAATAAATGCTGATTATAAATTGATATCATCTTTCATACCTGAGAGCTGTGGATCAAACTAGCCAGTGGCAAAGTTGCAGGAGAAAAAGAAATGTTGGACCCAGGATCTGCCCCCCGTTTGACTTGTTGTGGTCCTTGGGGGTCACCTCGGGACGGCCTTAGGACTGAAGCAGTCACCCAGTAGCCTTTAACCACTACACCACACTGCTCTCTGCCAGAAGTCTGGCCCGTTGGGCTCGGTGGTGATGGGACTTGGAGTCCACCCCATCAGGATGCTGTTTTGCACCGCAGCGGGGAAGGAAGGAAGCCGGTCACCCCAGACCTGGCTCCCTGCCCTCCATCTCTCAGCCCACCCATATAAGGGGGCAAAATATGGTGCCTATTTATAGACCGGGGGGAAGATATTTATGGCCAGGAAATACTAGTGGGAAGAGGGTTTTTCTCTTAGGGTGGGGCAGCAGGGGACAATCTTTGCAGTTTTTATTGGGGCTTTTCCTCCGTTCCCAGGTTTCCGAAACTGGCCGGGGAAGGGAGGCGAGATTGCACCACCGTCTCGAGTCTGCAAGCGGCGCCTGCAAAGGAAAAAATCCCACTTTCTTTCCATGCCGCTTGCGAAACAGCCCCCGGGCGCGCCGGAGGGGGTGCCACGCTTTGCAAGGGGAGGGGTCGCGCGGTCCCCTAAGCAGAAGAGCCGCTTTGGTCTCTTTGGTCTCGATGCACTCGCGCGCGGGACGGGGACATCCGTTGCATCCTCTGCGTTCAGTTCCCCGGGAGGGATGCGACTTTATTTAAAAAAAAATGCACGCATCTGGCCGCCGCCGGGAAAATGCTGGCTGACCGTCCTCGCCCCCCGCCAGCCGCAGCTGGAAAGGGGAAGGAGCGCTGCCTCCCCCCCAGCCGCCTTCCCAAATGGTTCCTTCTGCCCTTCCCTTGCCAGCGGCGGGGAGACAGGGGCTCGCTCTCCCCCCCCGCGCGCTCGGACAGTTGGGCCGCTCCACCTGCGCGCGCCTCCACTCACCTTCCTTCCCCTCCCTCACGCGCCCACCGACGACGCGAGCTCGACCCCGGAGCTAGCGAGTGACAGAACGCGCATGCGCGCCCACCCTTCAGCGCCTCGTGGACGCCTTGTTTAAATCCCCACGTCTAATGCAGCGGCAAAGCCACGCCCCTTTTAAAGGAGGCCACGCCCCTTTTAAAGGAGGCCACGCTCCCTCCTGTGTTATGCCCACTTCCAAGATGGCCGGGAGGGCGTCTTTTTCCCTTTCTTTTAAAGAGACTTTTTTTTCATTGTTATTGTTGGCACGTGGTTGCCCAGTTAACCGCACAGAGTCTCTTTTCCCCCCCCTCCCTTTGCCTAACGGCCTAACAAGCAGCTGGCCAAGGGTCTAATGCAAGCAATTCATTTCCTTCTCAGCCATTCTGACTTATTTGGGGAGCTGGCGTTGCTGTTCAGCCCCGGGCAGAGCAGAACAGGCAAACCTGTTTTGCAAAGCGCCCTCGCCCAGTGTTTGTAACTCAAGGCCTGCCTGAAACAAT